TGCTCAGCCATTGCCGCCATGATGGCGTGGGACGGGGCAGCTGCAGGACAGGCTGGGCCAGGCCACGTGTGGCCTGCAGGCAGAGGACTGGACGTGCCTGACCTAGACTGTCAAGCAATAAGGATGCTACACAGATTCAGGTTGAATAAATAAGATTTCAACTGCACTTACGCTCTTTGTAGCATCCTCAGGAGACAGCTCCCCTCTTCCCTGAATATACATGCATGTCTAGGCAAACAGTCATCCAGATAGAGAATGATGCCTGGGTTTGTTAAGCAGCAAAGCATACTGTAGTTTGAATACACGTACTGTCTTCCAGTTTTTTATGATATCTAACCTAAATCCCCTCTGTAAACACTGTATGCTTATAAGGTTTAATAAGATAAAAATATTTCCAGCAGATTCTAAATTTTAAGGAACAGTGATTTTTTTCCCCTCTTAAGTTGGCATTCAACTGTCCATCAGCATAAGCAACAAGTGTCTTGGCAGATAATTCAGGACATATGGCTTTGAAAAACTGATAATTTAAAAGTACTTGGGTAAGTTTTCCTCAACTTGTTCACCTTGTGTTATTTTCCTCTACATGTGCTGTAGCAGCTGCTGCAGCTAAAAAAATTTGAAAATATAATGCAAGTGACGAATAACCATTTCCTTAGTAATACTAACGTATAGCACAAAAACTTCACTGAGGAGGTTTTTGAAAGAAATAATCAAATACAATTCTAAGCTGTTAAATATATGTTCTTCATCTGTAGTCACCAGATGGCACCAAATGTATCCATGTACTGATAATCAACTTAAAACTACTGTAACTCTTGTACAAGTCTTTGAGATCCAAAGCACACTACATATGGTGGAGCCCAACAGCTGAGGTGTAAGTACACTGGGGAGTTTAGATTCAACTTAAACAGGATCTGACTGAATGTTTTTTTGAGGGGGATAACATTAAAGAGGAAGAATAAGTGGTCCTTCTTGATTCTGAAAATATTCTTTGGATAAAATTTTAAAAATGCAGAACAAAAGTATTATTTTAATTAAATGCATTGATTCTTGGTTTGAGTTAACACCTTTTCACTCTTTTTCTCCTTTTCCTTTTAAATATTTAAATGTTTTAAAGCACCAAATTTTGAAGGAAAATTACTTCTTTCCGAAGACATTTCAATTGTCTTGAAGAGCTGTACCTTTCTGTTGGCAGAAACTAAATTTTTTTCTGGCTTTCTGATGTGGCCTGTGAGCTCTTGAACTATGCATTAAATTCTATGCTTAGAAATCCTTTAATTTAAAATATTACCAGATTATTTGATGAAGATGAAGCTGTAATTAGCTATTCCTTATATATAAAACATTATCTCAAGAATATATAAAAAAAATAGAGCTAATTCATTTAGCTGTAAATTATGAATTATATATATATATATATATATACACTTGAATGCTTTTAATATATATATACACTTGAATACTCATCACCAATAAAATATTTGGGAATCTAAACTTCTTCAAGTTGGCAATATTTAGCACACATATTTTTCTTATTTGTTATTGATCTCCCTCCTCTGCAAATAACTTCTCTTCAAGAAAAAAAGAAACAAAAAAAACCAACAACAACAAAAAAAACCAACAAGAGAGTAAAATCTTGACCACAGTGACTTAATGGCAAAACTCTGACTAACTTCAAGGGCCAAGATTTTACCACACATGACCAACTTTACACAAAGAAGAAGAAAACCAAACAGACAAAGATATCATGTTATTAAAACACAGAGTCTGAAACTGAATCATCATCTAAACATAATGGCAAATATTTACAAATAACAAAAGTAATCAAAGAAAGTCAAGCTGTAGTTTGAAATAAAATTTCAAAAGGAACTTGATCCTGTGAGGAAAATGTAGCTTTCTGTCCACAGACCGAGAATATAAGTTTTAGCATATAATTCTAAACAATCAGATTTTATATCTCTAGCTCGTTGCAATGAATTTTCAACCAGCATGCTACTTTTGATTATGCTTAATATGCAGTTCTATCTGCTTCACTACAGCAAAATACTTACTGAAGAAATGTAACCTACACTTACATTCACCTCATCGTTCCCTGTTCTAAAAATGAGCCAATCTGATTATCTACATTTATGTCACATGTAGAAGCTTAGTGATTGTTGGGGTCCTCAATGCAAACAACAGCCTGAACATGCAAATAATCACAGCTTTTTGAAAGGACACTTTTTTTTGCAAGCACTAGCTTGCATGTAGCATCTGCATTTGTAACGAGCTTTCCTAGCCTTGTGCAGACACAAATGGAGATGTCACTGTTCAAATGATCCATGATTATTCTTCATGCTTTATAGTAATCAGCAGACCCTCAGCAAATATATCGTGAAAAGAGTGTTAGCATTTGTAAAATAGACAGATGAAATGTGAGGAGGATGTTAACACCATTATCTCACAAGCAAACTAAAGAAGAGAAGAAACACTGCTTTTCATACCATCTAGCAATACCACTAGCATTTCCATTGCAGAAGCTGTGACACATACCCAAAGATATAAAATCACAGAATATACTGAGTTGGAAGGGACCCACAGGGATCACTGAGCTCAACTCTTGGCTCCACACAGACCACCCAAAATTCAAATCTTGTGTCTGAGAGCGTTGTCCAAATGCTTCCTGATCTTTGTCAGGCTTGGTGCTGTGCCCAAAGCCCTGGGCAGGCTGTTCCATACATTCATATAAAGAGCCTTATGCATCTTAAGACAAGTAACTGCAAAAGGCAGCATGAATTCCTCTCCCAATATCTCCACTTTTCTCCATTGGTAACTGTAGCTCAGGCAGCTAGATTAGAGTTGAAACAATTCTGAATGTCTACCACTAAGTGAGATTAACTTCACTGTGCAAATGGCAGCTCCTATTACAGAGGCTGAAGAATGGAGACAGGTGATTTAACTGACTTGGCACTGGGCCTTGCATTGTGCCTTCTGGCTCCTGGTACATCACGCTGAGAAGGTCTTATATGTTGTATTCTTATCTGTACTTTCAGCTGAGAAATAATAAAATGAGCCAAACACAAAGTAAGTTTAGTTCCCTTCCCCTTCTCTGACATAAATCTGTTGTCGCTTTTTCTGTCTAGAAGACAAGGCAGACACACACATTTGTACAAAGAGCTACTATATTTCTTTCTTCCCATAACAAAAAAAAAAAAAAAGGGTTAGAATTCATGTTATTTTGTGAGCAAAAATTATACTTTTACCTATCATCTGCAGTTCTACCTGTAGCAAGTACATAATACTGTAATTAAAGTATATTGTAAGCATTATCCGAAAGGGTTCTAATCATTCCATCATATTATTCACTGAAATGCATTCATACAATACCTACAATATATTTTAAAAAAATGAAATAGATGAAAACAGAATACAGTATTGTAACTTTTTATAAGTCTTTCTTTCCTGAAGTAGTCTTGAAAGTATCAGAATGTATGGGTTATGTCATCCTGTCTCCACTACTTTCCTAAAATGGGAAGGATGAACAAGACATGCATGAGCAACATCTTCTCAAGATGTTTCAGATCCATGCAAAGGGAGGAGAAGGAGTTTGTATTTTTTAGTATGTACGTGACAAGACAGGACACAAGACTACTGAAGATAGTGCTGGAATTAAAATTAGTTGGGTCCTGGCTCTCAGTGTGTCTTGCTGAGCTGGAAGAAATGGTGACCACCACATGGAGGGATTAAAACCTTCAATGAAATTAAGAATTCTGCCTGAACCTATCAGTGCTATCAAAGGGTAGCAGAGGAATCACCTGTGTATCATGTGACCTGTACAGTGTGGTGGCAGATCTGAAAGAGGAGGTGGAAAAATTAAGGGAGTATATAAGGGAGATAGACTGGTGGAGCCACAAGCTACCATTCCTACAACAAAGGCACTAGAGGGGACACTACATAAGTAGCAGCACTTCTCATTCCTTCTTGTAATAAGGCAAAAAAGAGGGGCCCTATGAAATAGGGAGGAATGAAAAAAGGTCCCTGCTTGGGATGACAAGCAAATCCCCTCATAGCCTACTTGGTCTTCCCAGGTGCCCTTACACAATAGATACGAGGCTCTGGAATCTGAGGGACAGGCAAATGAGGATGGTGATGTGAGTTTAAGGCCAAATCAGTCAGTTGCACACCTTAATACTACCTCTGCCAAGAACAAAAGAAGGGTGATTCTTAGGAGACCTCCTTCTGAAGGGAACAGAGGGCTGAGCAGACCCTTCCTGCAGGGAAGCCTGCTCTTTCCCTGGAGGTTTAATCTGGAGGTGGCTTAGTGGAGACCTTATTGCTCTCTTCAGCTACCCGAAAGGAGGCTGTAGCGAGGTGGGAGTCAGTCTGTTTTCCCAGGTACCTAGAGATAGTATGACAGGCAATTTCCTATAAATATCTGCAAGAGTAATATAAACAGTGAAATGGTAGAGTGCTTGAACAAGGTGGAAATCAGACATTCCCTGGCAATTCCTTCTTACTGACTGGAAGTCATTGCTTCACATCCGTTCATTTCTTTTTGCTTTTGTTGAGACTTTACAAGTGGCTGAATGAACACTATTTGTCTAATTTAGTGCAAAGTTAAACAAGTATTCCAAAAGGGAGTTTTGAGAGTGATAAGCTAAATGTGAGCCCCACCCCAGCTTCATAGAAATAGTAGTTAACACTTCACTCAGCTGTAAGTGGAACATATTCTTAAGTCTGGGGTAATGGGTGATGAAAAATATTTTTATTCTTACTTGTTAGATGCCAAATCTCACGACAACTGTATTAAGCCCATAAGCCTTGTGGACATATGCAGATGTGACTGATTGACAGAGATGTCTAAACACAAATGAATACAGCATCACAACCATTGATTTTCCAATCTGAAATATTTATGCTCTAGGATGATGTTCGGCTTTTTCTTCTTGCTTATGCTCTTTGCATGATTCTCCTCTTTTGATCAGATCAGACTAGACACCAAGAGCAAATCCAATACATACCTGTTTCTCCCCACTGGGCTTCTTGTGGTTTAGCAGCAGTTCCACAGCACCAACCACCTCCTTCCTTATGGCGTGCAAAAGAGCATCTCCCACATATACATTAAAACTTAAGAGCAGCTCAATGAGCTCAAGGTTCTCATTTTCAATTGCAATAAGGAGCGCAGTTCTTCCCAGGGGATCAATGCAGTTAATATTGATCTTGAAATAAATTTCTGCTTCTTCCAATGCTTTCTTCACAGTAGCATAATCTCCTTTCTCCACAGCATTCAGATAGGCTTTCTCTGAATGGGACAGTTCAGATTCTGCTCGTACAATACGAAGAGGGATACGATCTCTGTAGGGAGCATTGACACTTCTTTTGTAGTAGAACTGGGCCATATTTTATGCCATTCTAATACTTCATCTCTGAAACATCAAAAGAAAGATTAAATCAATAGTGTATTTTGTGGTACAACGCACCAAATTAATATTTTAAGTATATAACTATATAAAACTCAAAGTGATGTTGAAAAAAGTAAATGTCTTCTATCAAAATAACCTGTGAAATCACCAACAAATGCAGAAAAGAAGACATGTAACCATCTTGTTCATACTTCTCACTCAAAGTATGATGTCAGCACACCATATATATTTCTTAAACTTGTGGCAAGAATGAGGTGACATAGCTTGCATCAGATGTGCGGCCACATTCCTTCACTAAGTTCTTCTATCTCATCTTTGCTGAAGTTTGAGAGTTTCCTCACGAGCAGGTGCTGTTTCCCAGAACTGTAAGGCAACATTTTTTTGAGCTTGACAGTAGTAGCAAGTATGCCACTTTGAAACCTATTCCTTTGCCCTTCTAAAGATACCTAGCTTTGTCTGACTTACACCTGTTATTCTGCCTGCACTCCAGCATGGCATGGGTCTTTCCCTCTTCAGACTTCTGTACAAAGGTCTCTGATATCCAACTCTGGTAACTGTGTGTGGTCCACTGAATACAGATCTTTTTACCTGTTTCTTTAGGTTGGGAAGACTACATTAGGGTTGGAATAGCTGTAAGCTGTTAGCTCTGCCAAGTGCTCTTCAAATACCCTAGAAGCATAAATTAGTCTCTTCTGCCTTATCTGAAATATATAGACTCAGCACAGTTCAGTAGTGTGCTTTACTACTAAGATTTTGATTCAATCTCACATACTATTAAGAAAAACATTCATACAAAATGCTTTTCAAGACAGCACTTACAAACATATAAATTAGAATCCAGAGCCTGAAAGGAAAAACAAAATCTATATAAGATGAAATCACAAGGGCTGGTAGATAAAGATCATGGTTTTGATAACGCACTATTCAATTCTGTACTCAAATACTGAAACACTGCAACTATGAAACAACTCTAAAGTCTTGCAGCTGGTAAAGACTTTAATGACTTTGCTTTTACTCTGTATTTACTGAGCAAGAACTTTTTCAAAAGAAGTTCCTTCAAAAAAAAAGTGACTTAAAAGAACAGGGTATGCATACATAAAAGGCTAAACAGTTAGTCAAAGAAATGTAGCTTCTTGTCATTTTCTCCACTGACAACAAAAGTTTGATTAACACAATGTCTCTTCCTCCATTTTTTTTCCAACACTGAAAAAGACATAATGTTTGTTTTATTTCGTGAGGTTTTGATTGATTAAAAATTTCATAAGATGGCATGAGAAGCAGTGATTCATCTATTCCAGTCTTTTTATGCAGTGCAAGGAGAGGTAAATACAAAGGACATTAATAAGTTTTTTCTTTGTTTTCTGGAGCAGATCAACAGAGCATGAGGCAGGGAGGTGGCAGCAAAGGAGATATACTAGGAAAAAATTGCATCTAGATCCATATATATAGAAACTCAGCAATTGCACTTTGCAAACAAAATGTTTCCCAGTTCTTCCTCCACGGTGTTATCAGTCTGCACCATAGGCTACTAGAGAGTGCACAGCTGGTGGATTATGTTCTGTTGCAGTCACTATAAATAAAATACTTACCTGTTGCACATTTTTGTGCCCCTGGAGCAGAGAGAACACATTCTTATTTTTAGTATACTGCATTTTACCAGTTTGCAATTCACTCTCTTGTTTCTCAGGCTCAAGAAGAAAACAAGAATGTGTGCAATCAGTTCCAAATAAATAAACCTAAATGTACATATTCATATATAGATTCCTACATTAAAGTTAGGTTGCTACATTCTCATTACAGCTATGGAGATCTCTTGCTGAATGCTGAAGGGCATATCACCTGGCTACAGCTGCTTCTTCAGGATGACTTAGGTCTCATGTAGATAGGTAAAACCTAATAACTTCAAGCTGTGCAGAGATGATACTCTCTCTTCAAGGACCATTCATACAAAGTTTTTATATGATACTATGTTTTCAGAATACCTGAATAACTATTTGTAAAACATGCCAAGAATATTTTGAAATTGTGGTGCATAAATGAAAACCCAGATATTAAATATCTTAGAATTATGACTTATGCTAGAAAAAAAGTATCACTCCATTAAAAAAAAGAAAAAAAAAAGTATTCATTTCAAAATAATCTTTACTAGATAGTTATGTCATGGCTGAAAATAAATTTGTTTTCAAAGTGCATATTTCTCCAAATTAAAATACTGAGCCTAGCTTTCCCACAACTAGACAAAACAAAACACCATCACATACTTTCAAAAATTTATCTTCATTATTTTTTAGCAGTAGTTTCAATTATTATATTCATTACCAAGCTAGCTGTAGGAATAATACAACAAACATTAATAAAAATATTGATTAACATTTTATTCATTTTTATTAAAAACTATTCAATGGCTTTCATCCCATTACTTTGGCCACACAGTATGCTAATGTTTTCTAATGTACATTTTAAGATATATTTTAACAATTATATATATACTTTAACAATTTAGAGGAATTTTTCAAAAATAGAATATTAAATCTACAAAATATTGCAGCTCAGTGCTGGTAAAAAGTTTAGCTGTAAGCTAGTGATTTGGTAGCAATGGTAATTGGGGGACGGTTGGACTAAATGATCTTGTAGGTTCTCTCCAACCTTGTGATTCTATGATTCTAGGCAATCATAAATAAAAAGAAAAATGACAAACATACTGACTCTCGTATTCAAGCCATTTCCTGCTTCTCTCTTCTTTGTAGTCTTCTAGTTATTCTTAATTTCCTTTTTAAGCTGATGACTCAGGCAATTGAGTTTAAAATCCTTTTTGACACATTTTTAAACATCTTTATTTTTAAAAGTAAAATTTTCAATTCTACTTTATTCCTTCTAACTAAAAGCAAAAACAAAAAACAAAAACACCACTAAGGCACTTTTGTGTTATCCCCTACTACAAATAAATTTGGTTGGCCATTGATGTAAGGAACCACTGTCAAAGGGCATGCTGAAATTCCAAAAGCTAAGAATTTCATATGCACTGGTAATTATAAATAATGATTAGTCTCAGCAACAGAGCCATTTTTTCAGCACTTTGCTGTTATTTCCATCAGAAAAACAATGTATGAGAAAATATTCACAGACTCAGAATAGGAAATAGCTTGAGGCTCAGAATAGTCTCTTGAAAAGGAGAATTATTTAAATACTTTACCAGGTGGACCTGATAATAAGTGATTTACTAGATTTTCTAGCATCCTTTCCTCTCTCAGAAAGCCAACATTAAAGGAAAAAACGTGAAATAGCTACTGATATTGGAAGATAGGATATTGACTGAGATAACTTATAGTAGATGTACCCACTTAAGCATGGGCATGCCCACACTATATAGTGCTCCCTGCATAATACTTTAATGAAAAATTGATGTGAAGTCAGTCTTTATCAATTATTTTATTTTTACTTGCTACAAACCAATATTTGAAACAAGATGTGAAACTTCCTAAGAAGTAACTATAGAGGCTTCTGAGAAGCCTCTGTAGCCTTCAGTTCAGACAAGTGAGTAACTCAAGGATTTGTCTGTCGTCTCCTGAAACTACTTTATATGTACTTTTCAAGGCAAAGGAGAGATTCTGACATTTGTTATATTAATGAAAGCATGAAATTTTCTTCCCAAAATAGATCTGGGACAGACTAACTTTAATCTGATACAAAGTCCTATCTGATACACAGTAAAGATGATGTTTAAAGGGAATTTTTTAAAACAAAATTCCAGCTCTTGAAAGCCTCAATCCAAAAGAAGTATGAAGTTCCTTCAATTTCAGTTATCAATGCAGACTGTCAGTTTTGAACAGGAACAAAAGAAATGCAGATAAACCGTTGATTTCTGATCCCAGTGTTAGTCCAAATACTGTGTGTAAGTGAATGTTTAGACAAGTAAATTAAGCATGCTTCTAGTACTGAGGTCAGCTGGATGAGCTGTGCCCATACTGTTAAAGTCTCACGCCAAAAATAGGATAGATGAATGAAAACTATCTACTGGAAATAAATTGTGGTCCATGCTAACTCCAACATTGTGCCTGGAAATTGTGCGGGAAGACGTTAATTATCTGGAGCCAAGACCATTTCAAGGGCTGCTGTAACAATGTCAGGCACAGCTAATGGAGATCCACTGCCCATGCATGTCTCCCAGCACTATTTATTATACAATTCTTAGATCTGACAATACTATATACAGGGTCCTCTCCTGAAAGTCATTTGTCATTATTAGCTCTGTAATCAGCTTCAGACCTGAAAGCTAACAATAGCAGATGCAGTAATTTGGACTTTAACATGAAGTTCATGCATGCAGGAGATAAACTAAAAAGCATAACACGGTGTACATTCTCTTTGAGGCTGTTGATTGATTTGGAATAGAGTAAAATCTTTTATTTGTTCTCTGTCCTAAAGTACCCTGTAACTGAGTTACAGTAAAGCAGAGAACATGACACATTATAGAGCTGTCAGTGGATGCTGAGAAGCAAGCTGTCTTGTTTTCTGCTTAAATATCTTCTGAGTTCACAATCAGCAAAACAGGACATCAGCTAGAAGTTGTTCTTAATTTCCAGAGCCACAATAGATAAGATATATGACAGATGAAACTCTTCCAGCTTCTTACATTAGAAGCTTTAAATATTGAGTCCCAGGAGAATATAATGCTGACATGGAATGTGATGAATGTTGCATTTCACTGTATTATTGCTATTTCATAGCAATATTTTGGTTTTAAAGAATAATGCTTCATGTATAGAGAAACGATGCTCTGTATGTTTGCTTAGGCCACACCAAATAAGAGAAAACTTTCATCTTCTAGAAATGACATCACACCAGATTTCAGTGGAGAACGACAGGTTCCTCTTGTAACAGTGACATTTAAGGTTAAAACTGTCATCAGCTTGAGAAATACCAGGAGACTGGATTATGCGGCTTCTGAAAAAAAGTGGTATTAGAAATGAGATGTACAGAGTAAAGGATTGTGTCGGAGTAGG